ATGGGACTTAGTTTCAAGATTGTATTGTGTAAGTCCTTGAAATTCTGTTGTCTTTCATTGGGTATGAATTGTTCAGGAGCTTATCTCAACCTATAATTTCAGAGTCTAACCAACTTAGTTGTAGCATGTATATACTAGAAGTCCAATTGTATATTTCTTGAAGAGATGAAAAGTTTGAAAAAGTTGTTGACGGTAAATCCTACGAAGGGTAATCTCGTTTTATGAGTAGGTAAATCCCACGAAGGGTAATCCTACAGAGATGTTGATTTTCTATTGTTGAAATTGTGAAGGCCGATGCCATTGTTCAAAGAAGTTGTTGCTAGTAAAATCCACAAGGGCGATCCCATGGTGCTATAGTTGAGGCCGATGCCACACTATAGTTTGTTAATTTTCTAGTTTTGTAAATATTAAAGGCCGAAGCCAATGTTGAATGAGATTATTGACGGTAAATCCCACAAAGGGTAATAAGAAGTTGTTATATCGGCATAAGGGTGTGCTACAACTACTTTATAGAAGGTTGTTCTTGTGTAAAACTCCTGATAGAGGTAGAAGAATACATGGTGTCTTTATTTGTAAGGCAGTGGAAGAAATTTGGACAAACAGACAGAGGCTTTTGATCAACAACTACAAATAGGTCATGGGGTACACTTGTTTGATTCAGGGCTTTGGGAAAGCTAGAAGCTTAGGTAATATAGTTTAAGTATATGCGCTTACTCTCTGTCGTATGGTAGTGTGAAGAAACTAATGATGAGAATATGGTGATTTCTTGTTTGTAGCAGGCTAATCCAAATTGGTGATTTTAGTCAAAGTGCTACATGTGGAAAATTGTTTGGGTATCAATCCAATGGTGGTTCTCCTAAATCTACAGTAGAGTGTCTCAAGTCTTCCAATCTTAAACCGGGTTTCCCCAATTGAGATTAAGAAGGAGTATTAAGGGTACATGTTAGAAATATAGTTACCAATACAGTTAGTAAGTTGGTTAGAGTTGTTAGGTTTTCTCTTATAAAAACAGAATTATGTATTCTTCCTTTTTTAGTCAATACAAATTATATTTCTCTCTCTAAACTCTCTCTCTTTCTAGGAACTACGATCTCTCTTGTTTCTCTCTAAGATCTAGGATCTAGGATCATAAAAGTATTAGGGCTATTAGGGACCAAAAGTGATTTTCCCAAGATGTTCTTTCGTCGAGTGCTACCACTTTAGCACCATTGCCACATGAGACATTTCTAGAGTCTTGACAAAAGTAGACTTTGCAAGAATTCTAATAGGTGGCATTCTAATGGATACTGCCAAGGAATCAAACTATTTCGGATTTCCAATCTCAAAGGTTTAATACTGATAGCTGGAGGATAAGGATGGAATTGGTTGGTAAAGTCTCCAATGATACACAATTACCAATACATTAGCCTTGGTTTAGGCCATCAACTTACCTTAAATCTACATCTTTCCTTGGCAGGGATTTTCTTCTCTTTAAGTCTAAGGGCAATCGCCAAAGTGCTCTTCTAAAATGTCAACAAGTAGACAAAACTACCCAAAACTTAGGAAAACTAACAATTTTTCGTATTCGACGAGGTGGCAAGACCCGAACATTAGGCTTAAAAACCTAGAATGCTTTCATCACGCATGTGATGAACGCAACATTACCCAACTTATGCTCTGATACCAAACTGACACACCTTGACCCAGAATATCCACTAGGACTTCGAATCGAGCTATGCTGGCCAACACCTGGAAGGTGACAAAGCCATAAAGTATAATGATGTGGAAAATGTGAATAAATTTAAACCTTAAAGTACCTAAAGACAAAAGTGCGCTGTGAGCGGGGATGAACCCATTTCACACGCGACGTCAAAGAATAAGTAAAGTACAGTAGTATGGATAAGGATCATACCCTCGGAGGTAGCCACCTATACTGAGGTTTGCCAAGAATCATTGTCTATACGAACTTTCAGCAGCTAAAACCTAGAAGGGCACAAAAACAAGGGTGAGTGGGCTTGAAAATAGAGTTTTTAATAAAAACCTTTTGAAAATGTTACAACCCCTTGCCATAAAACTTGTACAATTTCCGAGAAAATAATAATATATACGTATATAGAAATCATGCTCGAGAGTAGTGAAAACCAAGTATATGCCATGTCAAGTATCTCAACAATGAAATAAGTAAGCCGGGTGAAATAAATCAATGTAAAACGATATGTCAGCCGAAGTCACCTAACGTGACCTGTATGGTTGAGCCTATAGCTCATTAACCAATTCCTGCACATAAATCAGAATCACCTATTGTGGTCTGTACGACAGGGTTAAGTGCAAACAAGTACGCTCAAATGTTACGATCATGTGAAGGCTATACGAATAATCGCGGGTCACCTATGAGTCGGAACCACCTAATGTGGTCTATACGATAGGGCTGTGCACCAAACTTTGATACAAGGTGAGCATGCAGTACGGGAGGTGAACATCACGTGAAGGATTGTGCCTTAGCCACGGGCGGGAGCACTAACACCCGGGTGCAGGATAATGAGCTCTATATGCCTCTACATATAACCATAACCAATGCAACCAATAACATCATACAATACTCACCTGAAACTTACTTGGCCTCCGCAGCGTCATACAATAGAATGCATATACATACCAATGCATATAATAAAACGAAATGCAAGCATGACATGGCATTTAAAAGAATACGCTCGTTTAAAACAGTCTCTGGGAAAATGTAAAGCATATATACATATATATATATACATATATATATATATATATATATATATATATATATATAAAACCAAAAGCCCACTCACCTAGAGTCCACACTACAACTCCCTAGCACAAACATCAAGGCGTCACGAACGTTCGGCGCCTAGAACAATTATCAAATCATGTCTTAGAATTCTTATCAATAGAACATGTAACTTACATATCCTATTCGGGAAGATCTGTACGTTGGATTCCCGATCTGTAAGTTTCTAATATTATCAAATGTTACATATTATAACATGTCAAAGTTTGGTGACGATCCAACGGTTGGATCGTCGATTGCTATAATAATCAAGCGGATGACCTTAATGGAACTACGTTCAAATGACGGAAATTTGTCAATCGAACTTCACCAATGGAACTAGGGTATTCAAATTTAGCCTAGGAAGGTCAGGCGATGTCTCGGCCCACGCACCGCCGCAGGTGGAGGTCAGCTGCCCCGACTCGTTGGAAAATTCAATTATTTCTAAAAATTACCAAATTTTACAGGGATGAAGATCTCAATGAGAGGAACAACTTTCATACCTGTGACCAAGGCCATTTCGGTAGGGAAACACCTCAAATTCCCCTCAATCCGCCGAAAACTCCATAAAATGTGAGCTTCGAATCGACTTCCATACGCTCTCCAACGCCTCCACTATTGTTTGGGCTTTATTCTTGACCTCTAGAGAAGTTTTTTGATGGTGGTGATTGAAGATAATCATTTCAAAAATGGGTGGATTGCTGCCGGGTGCCCTCGAAGCCAACGATTTCAGTCCGTCGTGAAACAAAGATGGAAGATCTCTGGGTTGATTTATGGTGGTGGAGGGCCCAAAAACCTGACGAAATCTTGTCAGAAAATGGCTTTAGGAATCAAGTCACGGTTTCAAAACGGGTCGGGGGTCCGATCAGCTACCCCCTCAACTCTTTCATTTCCCCTCCTTTTTCTTCTCTTCCATTGGTTCTCTCATTTTCTCCCTTTCCTAATTGGTCCGGCTCCTCCCTCATTTCTCTCTTTTATCCTTCATCTCCACCGCCTATCTTTCCTTTATTTCAATCTCAGCCACACACATGGCTTTCCAGATTTGGCCCAAAAAATCTGGAGCTTTCTTGATATTAATTAATTTACTAAAATGCCCCCAACTTTAAACGTTAATATCTCATTCGTTATAACTTCAAATGGCATTCCGTTGGCACCCACGCGTCCGTAGCGACGAGTACTACAAGGATATGCCAAGAAAATGAATCTTACATAACTCGACAAGCGGTCAACAAAAAGCAATGCATTTTCCTCAAAGGACATTTTCGAATTTTCACATTTAAAATTTATAAAGACTGTAATTTTTTAGGATGGGCCGTTACATCTTCCCTTTACAGCCCACCTCATTTTGATACCCACCCTAACTTTTGCTTAGATCCTGTAGCGACGAACAAAAGATGGAGGCCAAGTCTATTTTCGTCCTTCATTCCCCCTACGCCACTTGACAATGCCGGGTTTCTCTCGAGGTCAAGCGTTCTACAACTTCTACCAAAGTAGGGGTATTTCACATGCTCTCTTAGCCTCACCAGTCATCCATCTGTTAATGTATTTGTATACACTTGTAGGATTTGGTGAAAGTGATTTAGATACGGTGGCTATTGTTTGAGGAGTTCTTGGTGACAAAATCTGGTTTTAGTGCTTTATTGGTGGCGGGTTTGTAACTTTTGTACTATGTTCTCTTGGTTGAATTGGCCACTTGGTCGTTTTCTTCAATGTAACTGACTCGGTCGTTAAATTAGATGCAAGTGACATTTTACCATAGTGATGCAAATGAGTTGAGCCATTACATGTCGATGTGGGTTCGAATTCCTTCGGTGATTAATCTAACATATAATTTAACAAAATCTATCATTCGACAAGCAAAAAAAAAACTGCCTTGATTACTGCTGACAAGGCATTCGTGGTGGCAACATCAGTTATACTCTACAATTGGATGATAGGATTTAGGGTTAATTATGTTGTTTTTTTTTGTCTTTCTGCCTTAGGTTTCTCCCGATAAATTTTGGATTTTCTGCCGTCCTTTTGGTTTGGCCCATGTAGCCCGTCTTTATGTTTATTGAATTCAATTCTCGCCCCAAAAAACAAGAAAGAAAAAAAAACAAACAAAACCGATGTGATTTATCTATTTAAGCCCATCATCAGTCTCCTCAATCCTTTTCCACCAAACCTTTCCTCCCCCCCTCTCTCTCTCTCTCTCTCTCTCTCTCTCTCTCTTTCAGATCAAATGGAGCAACACTCAGATCCAAAGTGGGAAGCCAAGTTTTCTACAACCCTAAAAGATGCCACAGTGGACCAAATATGGCCTCTCTGCAAAGACTTCTTTTATTTCCACAAGTGGTTTCCAACCCTTGCCCCTTGCTATGGGATCCATGGAACCAACGGTGAACCCGGCTATATCAGACATTGCTCGCTGTTCTCAATCCCCTCCAAGAGTGGTGAGAAGTTCGTCAGCTGGTCCAAGGAACGATTAATAGCCATTGATGATCCTGACCATAGTCTGAGCTATAAGATCGTGGAGAGCAACATTGGGTTTAAGTCGTACGTCTCAACGTTCAGGATTGTTCCGCGTGGGGATATTGACGGTCGAGATGGGTGCGTGATCGAGTGGTCTAGAACCGTTGATCCTGTGAAGGGCGGATTCTTGGTGATTTGGTGAAGAAGCATAAGGCTGGGTTTTAGAAAGGGGTGTGATATCCATATATCCAATTTTACTTCTCATACACATTTTTAATTTTCGATCGTCGGATCAGATGAATTGAAGAAGATCAACGGACATAAATTATCAAGAGGTATGTGAGAAGTAAAATGGGGTGTGTGGATAGTACACCAATGTCTAAGAGAATGGAAGATGCAATTTGTATTTGAACATTTCCTGCTGCCGGGCAGCCGGGATTCTGAATGCTCATCACAACATTACTTCAATGATCATTCTTTCAAGTGCCAAATTTGAATTCCCTCATTTTGTTTTGTTTTGTCAAAGTATAGTTTTTGTTAGATTAGATGTTAAATTAGTCACCGACGGGGTTGAACCAACGTTATCACGAAAGAGCTCAACACTTTTCCAACACTGTGATCAAGGTTCTAAAAGATGCTAGTCGGGCGGCGGGTTGGAGCCTAGCGCCTAGGCGATGCCTAAGCAGACTAGGCGGATTAAGTAAATGTATTATATATTGTATAAATAAATGTCTATTTATACATAACAAAACATATAATTGTATTGGTATCAATAAATTGATAAATAAACTGACATATAGATTATAACGTATTAGAACACATTGCTAATATGAGGAACAAACATACACTAAGTGTTCATTCAAGTATTCAACAAGTTTCTTACATTTTATTGAAAAATAAAATGCAAAATGAAAGTTATCGATCTTTTGTCTAAGTGAAAATCGCTACCAAGGTAGGTGCCTAGGAGGGTTTAGGCAGGTGTCTAGGTGGACTAGGCGGGCGTCTCATCGGGTCTAGGTGCACTTTCTTAATTTTCAAACACTTATGAACTAATCGGGGCGGTAGCTAGCCACCTAGTGCCTAGGCGGCGCTAGACGGGGATTTTTGGAACAATGATTGTGGTAAAGGGCCACTTGCAATTCCCTCATTATTGTGGATAAACAATGCAACACATGCAACATTCTCGGGAATACTTTTGCTCACCCTCTAAAGTGGCAGTAATACTCAAGCCCCATTAATTGTCGTTAGTGTGGAACCAAAAATAATCAAGATGCGACACGTGAATTTTTTGGTAAAATAGACAAAATTACCCTCAAGGCACACCGGAATTCCTACACGCGAGTAGTGGACAATCATCCCTTAATCAAGTCAAAAGTGCCCAAATAGGTATTTATTTATAACCTATTTCATCTATCCCTCATCATATCTTCTCCACAAGGTAACCCCTAAATCATTCATTTTTTATTATAATAATTAGCTAATTAATTGATTAATTATTCAATTAATTTGCTAATTAAACACAAATCGTGAACTTCACCCACAAAACCATCCAAGTAGTCGGTCCATCTCCTCCCAAGGTGGCTGGCCACACCTCTATATAAACACCCTCATTTTCTCCAAAACTCAATTCCAATTCTCTTGCTAAATTCTCAAAATTCTCCAAACATTTTTCCCTCAAAATTCTAACTTTGGCATCAGAGGTTTTTCGGCCAAATCCCCTCCCATTCATCGTGGGCGCGTGAAGCTCTTGACCTTGACCTAAGGTGTTATTTGTTTTGTAGGTGCAATTTTGTCCAAGATCAATGAGGAAGAAATTTACATTCATAAATTGGTGCTTTCATTGAGAGTTGAGTCACACATTCGTAGAAGACTCTCGCATCTAAGGTTTTTCGCTTTCTTGTTCATTTGTAGATTTTTCATACGGTCTTATTCTTAGAATTTTTATTTCTAAATTTTTTTTGGTAAAACGTAAAAGAAAAGTACAACGGCAAGGGATTCGGAAACCTCAATGATCGAAACTTCCTATGTTCAAAGATCCGGATTGAATGATGGAGGACAAGACGTAGCACCAACACGACGATCCACAAGGCTCAACACGATGGCAAGATGAGCAACTTTACCACCAAGGAGCACCACCACCATGGCAGCCACAAGGACTACCGTGACAGTGGGAAGTGAGCCAGCTCCATGGCACCGAGCCCACGGTGAGCAGGGGACAACGAGGCAGCCACTAACTCAGGCCCATGCCACTTTGCAGCAGCAAGCCCAAGCGCTAGAAGCAGCGTAAGCCGTTGCCCTAGCAACACAAGCTCTAGCCTCATACCCACGTGTGCCACACGCCGAACAGCCCACTTCTGTGGCCCAGCTTGCTCCCACAGTCTACTCTGCTACAGTGGCCAAGCCTATTCCCGCGTTCCAGTCTACTCCCGTGGCCCAGCCTGCTCCCATAGCTTTCCAAGCAGCCCAAATCAGTCCAAGATTAGTTCAACTGTCCCGGCTTCAAATTCCTGGGCTTACGATTGAGTCGGGGGCATTTTCATCACATTTCTTATCGGATTTAACATTTCCCAACTCAAATCTCTTGCTCGGAGTCTACCACACTGCTCAAGAAGACACATTCATTCCAGGTTCTTCTAACCTAAATGGAGAATAACACTTGTCTCGATAAGTTATAGAGTTGACGATCACTTTCGCACAACAGACAACCTTGGTGAATCAACTCTCGCAACACACCGAGATGCAACGTACCCTTGACGAGGTGTCCTGAAGTAGGAAAAAGGTAGATGAAGAACCTCTTCAGCAGTGTCCTGGAAAACATCCCATTAACCAGCCACGATCCGAGCGTTCTAGCAGCTTACGCTTCCGCCTGGGTCCTCGAGATAGCGTATATTATTGTCTTAGCGCGCGAAGGAGCGTGTATTCTTGATCAAGCCCATGAATGAGCATACGTTCATAGTTGAGGCTACACTCTGATTATCAACATGGATAACCTTCTATGCGAAGTGTTCATTCACAACTAGGCTTGCAAGAAGCATTCTCCACCTCACATCGGAGTAGGCAGCACGAAAGCAGTCTCCACTTCACATTGGAGTAGGCAGCACTGCGGATGGAGAGAAGTAGTCACTCAATCCAACTCAAGTTCAACTGGTAGCCTGCAAATAGCCTGGTCGCTCGCCAGAAATATCCCACATGCACCACAGCCACATCATAGATGAGTCGAGCATAAGGAAGAGTGGCCTAGACTAATAGGTCACAACTAGGGGCAACTGAAAGTTCCACTGACCCAACAGAGGTAAATTCAAGAAGAAGTTGATAGGCTTCTGATCGAACAATTACATAATTTCTAGCGCAACGAGGCTGCTGACGATGCACTTCGATGAAACATGACCAACATAAGCATGTCACCATTCAAGGATGAGATTGGGCAGATAAATCCCCCTCGCGGGTTCCCTATGCCTCACTTCACTCTATACAAGGAAGACGAAGATTCGGATTGACATCTCAAGCACTGCCTCAGTACCATGATCCTCTTCAGGAACGATGATGTGGTTATGTGCAAAATTGTTGCCATAACTCTACAAGGCGAAATTTGCACTGGGTATTATTTGTTTTGTAGGTGCAATTTTGTCCAAGATCAAGGAGACAGAAATTTGCATCCATAGTTAGCTTATTTAATTTGGGGGGTGATATACCCACCCACCAACACTATTTCTCTACCCACTTTTTAATGGTACTTTTAATGACAACTCTAAACTTTTGCAAAATGACTTATAAGGCCATCTTTAACTATTTTATTCTTTTGTTTTTGTATTAAATTCTGAAAATAGAAGGAACAAAAACATGAGCCCAGCAAGTTGAATCCATCGTTTTCCTCATCTTTTATGTCAATTCCTTCCCATCCATTTGAAATCTTCATCAAACACCATAGACCCATTACAATTACCTTAAGAAACTTACTTTTTTTTCTTTTTCTCTCATACCCATTTATAGTTTTGACAATCCATGTGGAAATGTGCTCAGTTCATCTAATTGACGTGGTTTTGATACCCCTCTTCTACGATTAGTCCTCTACTTGAGTTGTAATTGCCGAGAGCAACTACGAGGTCGATCGAGGATGTTGCTCATCCTCATAGTCTTGATTAAATTAGAGACAAAGTTGGTTGACGGTGAAAAGGGGGTTGCTTGTCGTTGAGTGGGTGGATGTGTGGTGGTGGCTAATTTTCTTTGTAAGGGATAGTTTAGGAATATTAGTGGGGAAATAGTATTTTTCTTGTTTACCTTTTGCGTGGGGTGGGAAAATAAGGTGGGGTGGGAGAATAGGATTGTGGGGTGGGTCTAGTAGCTCTCTTTAATTTTAAGATTCGTATTTTATATCAACTAAACTATATTAATTTAATTGTAAATTAAATAGGGATGAGCATTTTTTGAGGTGAGCAAAAATGCACACATCTCTCTCATAGGCACTAATGATGAAGTCAGTTTAGCTATATATTTAACAAGTTATAAAATCATAATGTTATATAGCCCATGTGTTTTAGCTGAGGCTTAAAGCATAAGTGAGTGACAACTATTGTATATGTTTGCTAGTGGCATATTGTATTAATTTTTTAGGGTCTTCTTTTTCAACCTATTAACTTATCGGTTTAAACCCTTATTTAATTCTCGTCTAATTTATAGTAGTGATATTGTTTGTAATTAAAAACTCTATATAGAGAGCTGTTACTAACACTCTAAAAATGTCTACTTAGTTTCACTCTAAATTTATAAAACACAAGAAAAGTTTATATTAAAAGATGCGTAAGATGATATTTTCGAGTGCCAGTAACAGTACTTTTAAAAAAATTATAGAATTCTAGCTTGAGCACCGACCAGTCATAATATATGAATCCAAATGGGTAGGCTTTGGTAATCCCACAAAATCTTGTTCTTTAGCCAAACAATTTCATTTGGACTAGCATGTATATGATAAAGAATCTTTTTGTGGTTTTGAATGAAGAAAACCCCTACAAAGGCATACCACCATTCCATGTGCCTCACAATTATTCGTTGTTAATTTCTTTGTTTATTTGTCATGGCAGAAAACGAAACACCATTAAAAAAGGAAGGTAAAGGTTGCCCATTATGTAGCTTAGTCAAACTTACTTTTTCTTTAGCATAAAATATATCATTGCATCCAAAAAAAAAAAAAAAGGAAGGCAAAACCTCTGGCCTCTCTTGGCTGATTTTTGCAACTTACACAAATGGTTGTCAATCCTTGACACATATTACCTAGTTGAGGGAGTCCCCAGCCAGCCATGTGTGATCCGATATTGTGCCACTCCTCCCACTGATCCTGTCTATAAGACGACCATCCGGTGGACTAAAGACGTTTTACTTGAGATTGATCGAATCAAACACCGTTTGAGCTATGAGATCATTGACAACAATCTCGAGTTCAAGTCTTACGTTGTAGTAATGCAATTGATCCCGGTCAATGGTGAAGAATGGTGAAGATGGTAGCACGTGGTACAAGATCAAGTGGTCGTTTGTTAGTGACCCAGTTGAGGGATGGAAATATGATGATATTGATGAGATGAGGGACCTTACATGGATTTATAAGAGGTTGGGCTATTCTTCATATTGCCAATTGGTTTTATGGTGGAACCTCAATTTTCTTCATGGTATCAGAGCAAATTGTCCACATGTGAAACCAAACGGCTATATGCACTCCACGTCACCCTGTTGTGTTGTCCACGTGTTAGCTTTGAAATTTGCCACACGTGAGGGGGAATGTTGAGAATATGTCTCACATTGATGGGAGAATGGATTGCATGGGCTTATAAGAGGTTGGGCTACTCTTCATATTACAATTTATTTTATAATGAAACCTCAACTTTCTTTATTTTTGACACTTCTACGAGATTGATAGCAAAGAATATGGAGAATGCTTTTCTATCCTCTTTTGGGTGAACATTGATTGATTTTCATGCAAGTTAGACATATCTTATTGTAGTGCATAATGATTCATTACTTTGTGTTTGAAATAATGTCTAAGTTATAGGGCATGTTTACTTGTCATGAAATGGATAAACAACTTCCCATAGTAATTTCATACTTGACTTTGAATCAAGTCCATTCACATGTTTGATTTTTAATAAACCGTTGACCCTAAAAACTATCAAGCCTACGTGGCGCGCAGACTGAGTAACTAATGAGCTAACTACGTCCTTCGGTTGATGCAGGGCGTGCTAACTCGTCGAGCGAGTTTGGCTGAGGAGTAAAATGTGTTGATATTGCATTGGGTGCGCTGCTGACTTCTGAATGTCGCGACTGCGGCCGAGGAAGGAACACGTCTCGACCTTCCGGTTTTAGAGCCTAAAGACAAGGCTGCTAGTTCTGTGAAGTTTAATATCAAATTCGGCTCTCAGAGTGCCGAATATAATAACCTGGTAACACCTCACTTCACCGAGAAGGCTGATGAGATGACTTCTACCAGTCGACCTCATCGCAATGCTGTTTATCCAAACTGAAGGTGCTTTGCAGTCGGTTGATTCTACGGCAACAGTGTTGTTTATAAAAATTGAAGATGTTCGCCGGTTGCCTTCACAGTGTTGTTTATCCAAACTAAATATGTGTTGGTGAAAAAGAAAATAAAAATCTCAAGATGTTTTAGAGGTTTCGCAAAGAGCGAGGGTTTGCGCAGGGCAGTTTGTGTGTTATGTTGAAGAGGCCCCTTTGTGTTGAACTGTTTCTTGTATTTATAGGGATGAGTACGCGGTTGATAAGTTCTGAAGCTCCACCATGCTACTAAAATTCTTCCATCGTCCAAGCTTTCGGTCAAATCCTAATCTCTTTAGTATAATCCGCATGCATCTTTATCTTGTGCCTATGCGAAGCCAAACGGTATTTCATGATGAGACCACGTGTTTAATGAGACGTATTTCTATCTCAAATGAACTCTGGGTTGATATTTGCTTGGCTGATGGTGTTCAACTACGACTTAAACTCTAGGAGGAAAACTGATTCGTTTGTCATCTATGACTTTTCAAACAAACTGAAAAGCCTATCTAGGAATCACATCATCACCAAAAGCCTAGCTTTCCTAGACTACCTGTCTCATCCGTCACCCAAAACCATCATCTTTATTGTTGCATGCATCCTGACCCAAACCAAATGAATTTTAAATTCATTTTGAATTGTGCCACACATCCACATCCAAACATCCACATTAATTTGAATTGTCCCGCTGATTCCTAGCTTGAAGATATATTATTTTTATAAGCAAATGTCAAGATAAATCATTATTAAAAGATAATTATGATAAAAATCATAATGTTATCTTTTAATAAAATTATCTTTACTTTTTCATTGACGGTGTGGAGGTATGCTTACTCAACGGCCTCGATTACTTGGGCCGATAGTGTAATCTTGGATCCAAACATAAACATAAGAATAAAATGATACTCGTTCCTTGCAAAACCATTTCTCCAAAAAAAGTAGCCCTTATATAGGCAAAGAATAAAAGGAGTACATGACGCAGCACAAAGGAAGAAGGATTACAAATTTAAATCCCTGAATAACTGATAATCTGGAATCCACCAGTTCTTTTAGAGTAATTTCAAAAGATAATTTGCTTAATTGATAAATTGATTGAAAGATGATTACAAGAAAAGCAACCAATGACTTAAAAACCAGATTAACTCCCTAGGATAACTCAAAAGTCTTAAGAAATTAAGACGAAAGTAAATGTCATTAATCAGACTACAAACAAAAAGTTCACTTTTTTTTTTTTACAGAATTTAAAATGCAGTTTTGGAAGCCTAAACAACATATCAATTGAATCCAACACTTTCCAACTTTAATTCTTTTTTTTTTCTTTTTTTTTGATAATTTGAAACATTTTATTTCCCTTATATTTATTCGTCAAAATTAACTCATATCTTGTCCTTTACATCAATACATCATGATGTTTGAACACATCTACGATGAATGTAACTTCACCATTCGACCAGGAAAAAGGTCAAAAATTAACTAGTTAAGTTAAATCACTAACCACGGTGCTGCTCATGTTTGATTGCTTGAACATAGCACGTGCTTGACTGCTAGTGGAAATTCAGATCGAGTAATATAATACTGGTATAGTTGTTTTCCGTTTTGGTTTCTTAATAATTATAGTTTTTATTTAGAAAACGAATACATTATTCAAGGTTAAATGAATAAGTACAAAGGATATGACACATTTATAATAAAAATCTTACGAGAGATTTCAAGTTGATCAAAGAAAAAAAAGAGTAGCATTGCGTGAAACTACATATTATTGATATCCTCTAATAACAAATCTCCAAGCAAGTTTGATAACAAGTTGTTTCAAATATGATATTTTACCCTTGCGAAGCATGAAATTAAGGGCAAAATCACATGGTTGTTTAAATTCTTTAGTGACTCTTTCATTAAAAAAATGACAAAATAACAAGTTGTGAGGTAACTGAAACGACTAGCAAACTGAGCAATTAATACCATATGAACGAGATTAAAATTTGAGTCAAACGAACCAAATATGTCAAAACCGACACAAGTAATGCTGATCAATGCAAAGAACCTGTACGTATGCACAAATAAGTTTGATTGGCAATTTGGGCAGATCTTATCTAACACATGTTAGTTGAATCAATTCTTTTATGTAATTTCAAGAAATTATACGTAGGTTGTGTCATGAATCCGTCGTATATGCACTCGTATGCATAGTTCATTTTAAGTTTCTCCTTGCCTAAAAATTACATAAACAACTAGAGTCTATTTGGATGAGGGTCTAATTAAGGAGGGATCTAGAAGACACGTGATTAGATTAAGGGATTAAAACAGGGTTTTACTAATTAAGGAGGGATCAAAACCGGTGCGATGTGTCCATTTAAGCCCATCATCAGAGTCTCCTCAACCCTCTTCCACCAAACCTCCCCTCTCTATCTCTCTCTCAGATCAAATGGAGCAGCACTCAGATCCAAAGTGGGAAGCCAAGGTTTCTGCAACCCTAAAAGATGCCACAGTGGACCAGATATGGCCTCTCTTCAAAGACTTCTTTAATTTCCACAGGTGGTTTCCAACCCTATCCACTTGCCATGGGATTCACGGAACCAACGGTGAACCCGGCTGTGTCAGATATTGCTCGGGGTTCTCAATCCCCTCCAAAAGTGGCGAGAAGTCCGTCAGCTGGTCCAAGGAACGATTAATAGCCGTTGATGATGCTGACCATAGTCTGAGCTACGAGATCGTGGAGAGCAACCTTGGGTTCAATTCGTACGTCTCGACGTTCAGGATTGTTCCGCGTGGGGATATTGATGGTCGAGATGGGTGCGTGATCGAGTGGTCCATAACCGTTGATCCTGTGGAAGGGTGGGTTTTCGGTGATCTGGTGAGGAAGTATGAGTCTGGGTTGCAGAAAATGTCTAATAGAATAGAAGATGCAATTTGTATTTGAACATTACTTAAATTATCTCATCACAGCATTACGCCAAGACGCCAAATTTGAATTCCCTTGTTATTGTGGATAAACAATGCAACACATGCATCAGTCTCTGGAATACTTTTGCTCACCCCCTAAAATGACGGTATACTTAATTGTCATTAGCTTATTTAATTTTAACATTAGTATTTTATATCAATTAAACTAATACTTATCTAATAGTAATTAATAGGGGGTGAGCATTTTTTGAGGTGAACAAAAATGCACTCATCTCTCTCATAGGCACTAATTATGTAGTCAGTTTAACTGTATATTTAACAAGTTATAAAATCAGAATGTTATTAGGCCATATGCATTATCTGAGGCTTAAAGCATATTAAGTGAGTGACAACTAGTGTATATGTTTGCTAGTGGCATATTGTATTGATTTTATAGGTCTTCTTCTTTAACCTACTAATTTATCGGTTTAAACCCACATTTATTTCTAGTTTGGTTTATAGTAGTGATATTGTTTGTAATTAAAAACTCTATATTTGTTTAACTGTAAAGAGCTGCTACTAACACTCTAAAAATGTCTACATCATTTCACTCTAAATTTGTAAAATACAAGAGAAGTTTATATTATAAGATGTGTAAGATGATATTTTAAAGTGCCAATAACAGTACTTATAAAACAATTATAGAATTCTAGGTTGAGCACCGACCAGTCCAAATGGGTAGGTTTTGGTAAATCCCACAAAATCTTGTTCTTTAGCCAAACAATTTCATTTGGACTAGCATGTATATGATGAAGAATCTTTTTGTGGTTTTCAATGCAGACAACCCCTATAAAGGCATACCACCATTCCATGTTCCTCACAATTATTTGTTGTTAATTTCTTTGTTAATTTATTTGTCATGGGAGTAAACCAAATTAACACCATTATTAAAATGGGAAGGCAAAACCTCTGGCGAGCTCGAAGGCCAAGCAGCGGAACAAGTTTGGCCTCTATTAATTGGCTGATTTTTGCAACTTACACAAATGGTTGTCAATCCTTGGCACATGATACCCCTAGTTGACGGAGTCCTCGGCCAGCCGGGTGTGTTCTGATATTGCGCCACTCCTCCGACTGATCCTGCCGATGAGACGACCATCAAGTGGACCAAAGAGGTCTTACTTGAGATTGATCCGATCAAATTAACACCGTTTGAGCTGTGAAATCATTGAGAACAATCTCGGGTTCAAGTCTTACGTTGCAGTAATGCCATTAGTCCCTGTCAACGGTGAAGATGGCAGCACGGGGTGCAGGATCGAGTGGTCGTTTGTTAGTGACCCAGTTGAGGGAGGGAAATATGATGATCTTCGAGCTTTTTTTTTTTGACACTTCTATGTAGGGGTGGGTTCAAAAAACCGAAAACCGAACCGAACAGAAACCGAAAAAACCGAACCAAACGAAAAAATTGAACCGAATTGAAAAAACCAAACCGAACCGAACTCTTTTGGTTCGGTTTGGTTTTGATGGTCTAGAAACCGAACCGAACCGAAATAATTAAATTAATATTTTTTAAATTTTATTTATTTATTTAATTATTTGATTTTATTATATTAGAATATGATACTTCGGACTGCTGCTTTGGTAGGACTTGTTTGCTTTCCAATTCAAATTGTCTTCTCAGCTTCTCCATCTGCAACAAAAATTAGAACTTATACCAGTACAAGCAATATTTGTAGTTTATATCATTAAGTGCAACACATATATAAGAACACATATCTCAACAGCATTGCAGTTGATTAGGGAAAGCAAACAGCGTATAAAAGTCTCATGAGTTTATTAAACACTACGAGATCAGAAACAAAATTCAAACTTTCTCACCTATGGCCAAGTATAGTAGCTTCCGTGGCCTAACAATTTTGAAAAGTATATCAATATATTCAAAAATATTGATGAACACCTCTTCAAAATTTGCTGGTGGTAGAAGCTGAACACAGAATATAGAAATTATATTATGTAACCACATATATGGATAAAAAAAATTCGGACCACAAAGATAAAGAAAATATAAAAAATTGTTACCTAGACAATAATCAAAATAAATAGTATATTATAGAATGTTTATCGTGTTGCTAGTGAAGAATACAAGTATATATATATATATATATATATATAGAGAGAGAGAGAGAGAGAGAGAGAGAGAGAGAGAGAGAGAGAGAGAGAGAGAGAGAGAGATTGAGAGAAAGAGAGAGGTCATACTCCATCATCATCGTGTAAAAAAAAATCTATTTACAGTTAAACATTAAACCCAAAATATTTAAAAAAAAACCTTTATGTTATAATTCCAGTTGAACTTTAAATGTTTATTTTCATTATCTTTAAGTCTAGTCAGAATATTTATGTTATAATTGTGTTGGATATTTTAAAATTTAAGATTTCAAATTTTTTTCATTTTTTGAAAAAAAAACCGAAACCGAACAGAAAAAAACCGAAAAAAAATTGAACCGAACCGAAATTTCGGTTCGGTTTCAGTTTTGGCAAAAAACCGAACCGATTTGAACCAAACTCACCCCTACTTCTATGGGATTGATGACAAAGAATATGGAGAATGCTCTTCTATCTTCTTTTGGGTGAACATTGAATTGGTTTTCATGCAAGTTAGACATATCTTATTGTACTACGTAACGTTTCCATTACTTTTTGTTGAATTAATGTCTACGATTTAGGGTATGTTTATGAGATGAAATAAACAACTCTCCATGATAATCTCATACTTGACTATTCAGGTATAAGATACCCAAATACATTTTTTTTTTCATTCCTTAATTGTTACTAAATCAACTGTTGAGGCTCAAAAAAGTCATATGCAAGTCCAATCAAGTCTCAAAACCCAATTGTTATACAAGGCTCAAGCCAAGCCCAAAATACATGCCAAGATGTGGAATCGAGAAGGGGTTATATCAGTAATCATGCCATGCTACATTAATTAAGTCATGCATTTGTGTAAATCACACCACAATCATGCAAGTCCATGCATATTTATCATGTCATGCCTTATCACACTAAAGTAAGCCTAAGTTACATGTCCAGGGCTTGTCAAGTGAATTGTGGTGTGGATGGTTACAGAAGTTTGTCGGACGTATGTGGAGTCAAGATTATGGAAGACTTTGGGTTGCTTGGGAGCCCAAAGATCCAAGCCCATAACGTTTGTGGTCCACATGGGCAAGTTTGAGAGAGAACCAGCCTAATTTCCTTCTTTCCTCACCAAGGTAACCAACTTAGTTAGGAAGAAACCAAGACTTAACCCTAAAGTCATTTGAAAGCCCAGTAAAGAGGCATGTAATGAAGGAAGAGGTTGAATTTCCTTTCCTAACTCACACTGAAGATCAACACCTGAAAGCTAAAAGACACGTTATAGGAAGTAACGTCTGTAGAAGGCTGACCCAGGAAAGCCGCACCTTGAGAAGAATGTCCACTGTAGGTTTCATGAGATCAACAGAGCCTAGCTTCCTTGCACCAAAAGGGAAATGGCAGAAGAACAAGGGAAAAGAAGGAGGGAAGATCAAACCACAATTAGAGATTCCTTAGGAAACCTAGAGGGGAATCCTTCACCTACAAAAAGAGAGATTAGAAGCCAATAAGAGGGATCCCAATAACTCAACCAAAGAAGACAGAGGTTCACACGTTAGAGGGAAGAACACAGAACCATCTTCCCACAACCTTACAGTTCTCCCCTAGACTTCTTTCAGCCCTTTCAGTTAGGGAAAACCTCTTTAGAACTCAGGAAGCCCGGATTACCCAACCAAAAACTCCACGCAACCGTGCAAACTCTCTCTCTCTCTCTCTCTCATGCTAAATGGATGACCTTCTAGCTTCCACACCATACCTTACTTGAGCAAGCCATTATTTGCTTAATCATGCTAATCTTCAAGTCATTGATCTAACCGCGATATTTGCTAAGACGAGCTAACTCTTTTGACATATTATGGGACTTGGTACAAAACTGAACCAAGAGAGACAAGAGGACGTTCTCAAAACCCCAGTCCACCTTGACCTAAAAGTAACCCTAAAACCAACGAATCGGAATCAAGTCCATTCAAATGTTTGATTTTTAATAAACATAAAAATAAAATGATACTTATTCCTTTCAAATCCATTTCTCCATATAAACATGCCCTTATATAGGCAAAGAATAAAAGGAGTACATTCAAAGACGGCGGTAGCTAAGGCCATTGGAGGCAGCTGCCCTCACTGATGTTTTATGTAGAGGGAAAAAATCAAGATGGCTACAGAACTTGAATTTATCATATTTAAGTATTTTAACTAATGAGTTGAAATATTCAAATAAATGTGTACTTGAATTTGTTATATTTTAGTACTTTAATTGATTAGTTAAAATATTCAAATAATATGTATATATAATAAGCTATTATTAGGAAATAATGTCTGCAAGTTGGTTTAATGAAATTTAAGAAGAAAAGAAAAGCAATGAAATTATAGAAGAAATTCGAATTTCTTTGAGGTTAAGAGATAGACCCCGCCATACAAAGTTTTTAGCTCCCTCCTTAAGTACATCATGATGTTTGAACACATCTACCATGAATGTGACTTCACCATTCGACCAGGTAAAAAGTGAAAAAAAAAATTAATTAGTTAAGTTAAATCACTAACCACGGTGCTGCTTATGTTTGATTGCTTGGACGTAGCACGTGCTTGACTACTTGAACATAGCACGTGCTTGACTGCTTGTAGAAATTTAGATCGAGTAATATAATACTGGTACGGTTGTTTTCCGTTTTTGATTTCTTAATAATTATAATTCTTATTTTGAAAACGAATACGATATTCAAGGTGAAACGGATAAGTGCAAAGGATATGACACATTTATTTTGACCTTGATAAAATATTTGTCTGGAGATTTCAATCCGGTCAAATAAAAAAAGAGTATCCCACATCAATCTATTACAAGTTATTGAGACAAATCTCCAGTCAAGTTTGATAACAAGTTATTTAAAATATGGAACTTTAACGAAAAGCTTGCGGTATTGTTCATTTTAACGAAAAAGCACATTTTTACATTAAAATCAATCATGATATTATTCACTTTACCCTTTATTTTGTCCTTATCGTTAAACTCAAAATTTTCAAAACCTTTTCGTTAGTTTTCCTTTTAAAATATAGTCTTTTACCCTTGCAAACAGGAAAGGGCAAAATCACATAGTTGTTAGTGATTCTTTCATTAAATAAATGATAAAATCACAAGTTGTGAGGCCAACAGGATTCTTTCCATATTCTTTTTGTAAAAATTCTGGAGATTCGTGAATCGTGTTCGTTTATCGTATATGATGAACGAATATGATTCACGAATTTCTAGAATCCTCACAAAGAGAATCCAGCGAAAATCTAGATTCTTGGTGTGGTAACTGAAATGACTAACAAACTGAGCAATTAATACCACATGAACGAGATTAAAATTTGAGTCATATGAGCCAAATATGTCAAAACCGATGCAAGTAATGCTGATTCATGCAGAGACCCTGTAAGTCTGCACAAATAGGTTTGATTGGCAGCAGATCTTAGCCAACACACGTGAGCTGCATCACAGTTTATGTAATTTGTGATTATACATAAATAGTGTTATAGACCCGCCCCAATATATACACACATATTTATAGTTCATTTTAAGTTTCACCTGCCGAAAAATTACAAAAACAACTAAGAGCCTATTTCGATGAGGGATTAAAAAGAGGATTTGGGATTGGAATAGCCTAAAAGGGGTTTTGGAAGTTCTAATATTCAAAGGAGTGTGGATTTCTCACACTCTTATAATTTTCAGTTGTCGAATCGGATAAATTAAAGAGATCAAAGAAACAAAGCATGTGTGAGAAATAAAAAGTGATGTGTAGATAGCACACCACATTTTTAAACACCTTGTTTGGGTAAAATTAAGGAGGGATCTAGACGACTAACATTATACAACCTCTAACATATATAACCACATTATTGCCAAAGGCGAATTTAAAACACATTATTGCTAGCTTATTGTGAGGTGTAACGCACTCCCCACCCATTTAATCTAGATAATATTGTTTGTTAAAAAAATGAATATCCCTAGATACTAACTCATATACATACTGTTGGAATATATTAGTATTTTAGGTATTTTTTTTGTTTGAGTTTTCATATAAGTTTAGTTTGGGCCTAGCCTGTTAGCATTAAGGTTAGAGTTAGTTTATTATAAATAGAGTGCTTTGTTATTCATTAGAGAACAAGCTATTCACAATGTAGCATCTTGGGTTATATAGCCGTCATGGCAATCTTTCGTTTACTTAATAAAATTATATTAGTTTATATTCAGTTTGTTCGTTTGTTCATTGCGTACTCTGATATTCAATTTGGTATCAGAGCAGGTTAAATCTTTCAAGAATTAATCTGTTTTGGGGTTGATATCGATTTGTTTGTCTATCTGTTTGTTCAGTATCAGTTTTGTCTTTAGTTAGGGTTTTGTTGTTTGAATATGTTTGCTTGGGAGCCACTCAGCGTTGAACCTAGAACCGAAACCTGCACCAAAACCCATTCCCCATCCAGCCGCCTTCTACTCGCTTGAACTACCAGCACCACCTTGTGCAAATTCCGCCACCACTTTCTACCCTGCCATCTAAACCCACACTGAACCGAGCTCCGTTCATTGCTGCACCAGCCTACACAGACCTAAGCGCACCACCAGTTCTCGGCAACATGAACCTAGCACTCGCGGCGTATTGTGTTGCATAACACACCCCACCAGAATCTGCACCATTACCCTGTCTTCGCACCATACCCGCTTCTCCTTCTATACCTGACCAGAATTTGCCACCGCTGCTGCACTCGTTCGTCTAGAAGAAAGGAATAAGGAAATAAGGAAACAGAAGCCAAAAAAAATTTGAGAAGAAAAAAAAAAATTGTTTGAGGTTTTGGCCCACACGGGCAAAGTGGAAAAATGGGTTGTGGGCTGTTTGCCGCCCATTTTTTGGTTGATGTCTTTGAGGCCCACACGAGTTGTTGGCCTGTTTGGAATTGTTTTGTTCGTTTGTTGGTACAATTGAGATATGGAAATCTCGTCCGTTTAGTAACAGGTGCGTTCCATACTCTCAACTCTAGCCAGTTTGCCAGCCAGAATCAAGAATCAAGAATCAATTACTATTTTGTTTGAGTTTTCTTATAAGTTTAGTTTGAGCCTAACCTGTTAGCATTAGAGTTAGGATTAGTTTATTATAAATAGAGTGTTTTGTTATTCATTAAAGAACAAGCTATTCACAATGTAGCCTCTTGGGTTATATAGCCGTCATGGCAATCACCTCTTTAACACAAATTTTGACACAATTTCTAAATCATTAGGTTAAAACGTCTTAAAAGTTTCTATGCAATGAAACCTCCATATGTTTTACCGAGAAAATCTTAAAAGTTTCCATGCAATTGTAATGCAGTCTAGCTATGCTTACATTTCTAGCCTCTAACGTGTTGATCATGTAGTTGCAAGTATATATATTCCACATTGACAAAGTAAACCGCTAACCTACAATTGATATTGATGCTGGGGAGCCCTCCACTTAATTGCAAAGGAAGGAATAGGAAAACTTGCAAAATAAAGAAAGTAAGAGAAGTGATTTCTAATTTTATATGTGTTGGTAAACACATGATCTGGTTAGGAAGCGATTTCTCTACCTATATTTTAAAAACGTAGTGAATCCAAGAATCATAATTGTTCCATGTCCAGTAAGTAGATGTACCCCAAGACTCTGTATTGTATTTTGTTGACCATAATTATATTTTGCTGCTTGTAGTTAACTAATTTGTTTTTGGGTCAATGCACTTTAGTATGTTTATATTTTTGATAGTTGCACAAACCACCCCATAAGCCTATTATATACTTAATTAACATGGGTATAATAGGATAAGTACAATTACCCAACAATAGGCAAAAGAAGAGAGTAAATTTAGTGAGATTTTAGGAAATCAAGGATGAAAGTGCTGGTATTAGAGACTCAAACAATTCTTTTTTAAAAAAAATTAAGGGGAAATAGATACATTTGATTTGCATAAGGGGTAATGCTAGGGAGACTAAATTTGGGGACTAAATTAGCAAACTAAATGATGTGTTACTAATAAGAATGAGCACGTTTATTTACGTTTAAGCAATAAACCAATAATCAATTTTCATGTCTTTTAGTTTTCAAAATTTAGTCTCCCTAACATTACCCTTTGCAGAAATGATCATTTTCAGTAACAACATATTGATCACATATCGACGACATAACGATGATATAACCACAATACAACAATGATATAATAACGACTGATCATTTTTGCAACAAAATAACAAATATGTTTATTGTAATTAATTGCCAAAATTTAATTAGCGTCAGAATCCAGATTAAGAGATTTTGAGATTATTTAAGGGGTGTGCTATCCACACACTCCATTTTACTTCTCACACACCTCTTGATAATTTTTGTCCGTTAATCTTCTTTAATTCATCCTATCCGACGGCCGAAAATTAAAAAGGTGTGTGAGAAATAAAATGAGGTGTGTGGATATCACATCCCTTATTTAATAGAAGAAAAATTGCTTAGATTAAACCTTGTGTAATAACATTGTTGGAAAATTACAATAAATAATCTCTGTGAATATATAAAATACAACAAATACAATAAATAAGAAAGAAGTCACCAAAATGATAGAGATACGGCTTTGGTTGAGGCGTGGAGAATCACTGTCTTTAAAGCCGATGTTGCGCTCTCTCCCAAGTACCACGGTGCAAAAAGATCTTTTGCGCGTTGACCTCCAAAATTCAACAACCAAAGGACTTTGCTAGATGTGAACTCGTAATAACAAAATTGAAGCAAAGCCAAAAGAATAGTGCCCAACAAAAAAGAAGAAAACAAGATTACAATGATTAACAAGTTAAAGAATGAAAGTTCGGCTTTGTGTCCTATTTTGTCTAATATAGCTTCGTTTCTTTTACCGCTAGTCTAATATTATTCTTTTTTACTTGTAAGTGAAAAAATCGTAAACTCAAATTTTATAAATGACGAATTTATGACTAATTTTATTCCCACCATACTTAAAATCATATATAGATAGTTGTATATTTTTTTTTATACCAAGTCAAATTGAATATTTTTTCGTACAGTGCAAGTCAACTTTCCATTTTTTGTTTTTTTTTTTGGCACATAAGTCAACTTCCATTTCACCTAACATTTAAATTTATTAGTTATGAGTGAAGCATCTTTTTGAACCTTATAAATACATCGTATCACAAATAATGTTCCCTTATAACCAATCATTCATGTTTCCTTTGTTTCCTAGCTATCTCTCTCATCATGCAAGAACCCGCAGAGTCCAGAAAATGGGAGCGCAAAACAACCGCTGTGCTCAAAGCCTCAGCAGCCGAAAAAGTTTGGCCTCTCTTGGCTGATTTCTGCAACTTACACAAAATCTTCCCCAAACTAGCCACATGTTACCAAGTCGAGGGAGTTTCCGGCCAACCGGGTCTGATCCGGTACTGTGAAACTCCTCCTACCAATCCCGCTGATGAGTCGACCGTCAAGTGGGTCAAGGAGAAGCTACTGATGATTGATCCAATCAAATGGTGCATAAGCTATGAGATCATTGAGAATAACATGGGGTTTCACTCTTACGTTGCTACCATGCAAGTAGTGCCTACAAACGACATTGATCAGGATGGTGTTTACGGGTGCAAGATAGATTGGTCTGTAGTTTGTGATCCGGTCGATGGATGGAGATCTGAAAATCTTCAGGAGTTTCTTGAGTCTAATCTTCAATTGGTTGCAAAAACAATGGAGCATGCTCTTCTATCTACTTAAATATACATAGATACATATATATATATATATATATATATATTCATGCTTTTTTTTATCAGTCTTTTCATGTTTATGTAATATGTAATATGTCGAATAATTAAGGTTTTAAAAAACGCTCGCAACTAGTCGAGCGGTGGACAAGGGCCTAGCGCCCAAGCCGATTTATGTAAATGTATTATATATCTTGTAAATAAGTGTCTATTTACACTTTAAAAAAATTATACTTGTATGGATAATAAAAGAATGATAAAATGCAAAAATAGAAGTAGAAGAATACACAAAGTACATCCATCCAACAAGTTCAATATTTAAAAAACAATAAGCATATAATCATAATGATGAGTATTCTTGGATGATAGACTAAATTCTTCTTGTTCATGATCCTTGCATTGGTTTGGATGTAAACTAAACTATTTAACGTTATTGTATCTAGTTTATTTATTTATTTTTTTTTTGTATGTATCTCCTCAAAAGTTCTCCAATTCATTTCACAATTGGATGAACTTGTAGTCAATCCATCCTTTGCAAATTAGGTACATCATTTCCATAAAGTATACCACCATGAAACTAAAAAATAAAAAAGCACACAATTAATAAATAAATAAAAAGAAAAATCAAATCCGCCTAGCTCCAGATCAATTTTTTGAAATGATTTTCCCTAAATCCCGACGGGTCTTCACCGCCTAGGCCGATTTTTAGAACACTGAAAATAATGACTTTGTACAGAATAAATAGTTATGATGTTTCTGAAACTAGCCATCATCAAATTAGTAGTGTAATAGTTTAAATATCATAACCCCATTTCAACTAATATCAAAATCTTTTGTGATAAAACCCCATACATGAAGGATTGTGCGTGTGGTATTTACCAAATTGAGGACAGTATCGGAGTTGATGGAAGTGGACCTTCGACCCATCTCTTTGATTATTCTATAGACTTCACCATTCTACAACCATATTCTTTGATATCGTTGCATTATTTTCCTATCAAATATTATTGTTGACTCAGTTTTTCTATATGCTGGTCAATCAAAACACCCATATGTATTGTATAGTTGGAAATACTTTTAAAATAATTATAAGAGTTTCTTTAAATTATAAAAGTGCTTCTGATGCTTTTTGAGAAAGCATTTACATTTTTATTAAAAGTTTTGATGTGCTTTTAATGCAAACACTTATGAACAAAAGTGTTTTTTAAAGAAGCCCTAATTCCTTACATTTAGTTAGAAATATTTACTCAAACAACACACATAGGGTGTAATCTAGTTACAAAGAAACTTTACACTTTTTCAAATTACATGCACCACTCTAACAGTGTGAAAAAAAATTAAACAGTTTGATATGTTTTAAATTTGGATAACATGGTTGATATTTTCGGAGTATGAGGTATATTTAAAACACATTTATTTACTTTCCATTCTTATACAACTTCAAAAATAAATAATCACTACAACAAAATTGGCCACTATGCACAATAGAGGCCAAAAAGCACCAACAATTGTGCTTATAGACCAATAGCAACAGTGTAGCTACTATCTTTGTGTATGTGCCCTTTATGGGCGTCACCATTGCTGATAGCACACAATATGATGTTTTGTGCTCAAAGAGGCAGGCACAAATAGATCACTATTTGTGCCTCGTTTCTGACAACTTGTCAGACAACCTTTTCCAGACACGTTGGCACTTCATATTCTAATTGTGCCAACACGAATTAAATATTAAAAAAAATTGAGGAAATGAAAATTTTTGATTTTCTTAAAATGAAAAGGCCTACAACACATTCCCAATCTCACAAACATAATGTAATGTTACATATTTTATCTCTAATACAATAAAACTTGAAAGCACATATTTTTGGACAGATGCATTTTCCCCAGCAAGCCTTGCACCTCATCAGAAGCTATAACAAATATAGTCGAATTCAAAACAAAATTAGTCCAAAATAGGTAGGCCAGCTTGTCGGTGATACTTAAATCTTCAAAGCGTGGAATGTCCAAATAGGAAGGCTAGCTTGCTGGTACTTCCAAATCTCTGGTAACAAGACGAACACACAAACAAAAGCCAGTACTATTTAGTCTTTAGTAAGAATAATTAAAGAAAAAAGTGCATCTTATATACAATTCCAAGAAGACATAGTAAAACTATAATGCAAAATAGCAAACCCCTCAAGCCATTTCTCCTTGCAGAGATTGATAAAAGCATTTGTATATCTTCTAAAGATACCATCCAATCGATCCACCAAAATATCAATATCTTGTGGTTCATGCAATTAAACTATGGGTAGGGCAAAAACAAGCTTTTATGATTTAGTTCTATAAACTGATTCATACAGATAATGAAACCAATAATTCCTAATACCATTTGAATTTGTCGGACGCCAAACAACCTTCAACCGCCACAGATAACATGGTATTGACATCCCTTGCTTTGACAGCCTCTAAAAAATGACCATGAGTAAGAAATATATCAAGCAGTAAAATACATTATCACATTGGATATTACTGAAAAAATGAACTATAAATTTAGACTACCAAGAAGCTCTTGAAAATGAAGCTGACATCATTTACACAGAGCAACAAGAATGAGTATGTAATGGCTTCCAAATTTTTAAATCATGATTCCTTTTCTTTACATGATCAGATGCTATATATCCTTCCTCCCACAAATTAATTGGTGTAATTCTGCTATGTATACATGCACTTGTTCGTGATTGAAACATATATGACTTTTGCCAGACACTTTAGTAACATTTTTAATTTCTTCATGCATGGCAATCAATCTTCACACAAATTAACACATGAAAAAAGCAATCCACAGTCCCAATAATGCGACTCTACCTCTTTCGAATGTAGAATAAAAGAGACAACAACAAACAACAACAACAAAGCCTTTTCCCATTAAGTGGGGTCAGCTATATGAATCCTAGAACGCCATTGCGCTCAGTTTTGTGTCATGTCCTCCGTTAGATCCAAGTACTCTAAGTCTTTTCTTAGGGTCTCTTCCAAAGTTTTCCTAGGTCTTCCTCTACCCCTTCGGCCCTGAACCTCTGTCCCGTAGTCACATCTTCGAACCGGAGCGTCAGTAGGCCTTCTTTGCACATGTCCAAACCACCGTAACCGATTTTCTCTCCTCTTTCCTTCAATTTCAGCTACTCCTACTTTACCTCGGATATCCTCATTCCTAATCTTATCCTTTCTCGTGTGCCCACACATCCAACGAAGCATCCTCATCTCCACTACACCTACGTGTTAATGCTTCACCACCCAACATTCTGTGCCATACAGCATCGCCGGCCTTATTGCCGTCCTATAAAATTTTCCCTTGAGCTTCAGTGGCCTACGACGGTCACACAACACGCCGGATGCACTCTTCCATTTCATCCATCCAGCTTGTATTCTATGGGTGAGATCTCCATCAAATTCTCCGTTCTTTTGCAAGATAGATCCTAGGTAGCGTAAACGGTCACTCTTTGGTATTTCCTAATCTCCGATCCTCACCCCTAACTCATTTTGACCTCCGTTTGCACTGAACTTGCACTCCATATATTCTGTCTTTGATCGGCTTAGGCGAAGACCTTTAGATTCCAACACTTCTCTCCAAAGGTTAAGCTTCACGTTTACCCCTTCCTGCGTTTCATCTATCAACACTATATCGTTTACGAAAAACATACACCAAAGAATATCATCTTAAATATTAAGTTTGTGATCTTCGCTAGATTGCTCCGGTCATTAGTGTGGATAAGTATGTAAATGGATAGAGACAGGAAGCAAACACAAGATGTACGTGGTTCACCTAGATTGGCTACGTCCACGGAGTAAAGGAGTTCTCATTAATTGTGAAGGGTTTACACAGTACATAGGTTCAAGCTCTCCTTTAGTGAGTACAAGTGAATGATTTAGTACAAATGACATTAGAAAATATTATGGGAGAATGATCTCGTAATCACGAAACTTTTAAGTACCGAAGTGTGGTATCGTCTTCACTTGCCTTATCTGTCTCATAGGTAGATGTGGCATCTTCTTTGGAAGTACTCTTCCTCCCTCCAGGGGTGGTATCTTTAACTGGTGGAGATGCACAAGGTAATGTATCAATTTCACTTGACGCTTCCTTGTAGTTTCAGGCTTGGTCAAGCACGATACAAACCATGTAGTAGGAGTCTCCCAAGTTGCCGAGCTAGGGGATATGCTGAAAGAGGTGATAGACAAGGTAAGCAATCAGAGCTCCAAGCAATCAGTCCCAGATCAGAAGTTTGATTTCGAGTTTTGGCTGATTGTTATCCTTCTCCTTATCTTGCAGGCAGCATGAAGGATAAAGAGAAGAAAATGAGAAAATGTGATATGAGATACTTTTGCTTTTGAAGAAGTAACTTTCCACATGCTTATTCTTGAACTGGGCTGGAGGGTTTTCTGGTTTCCGTCAGAGTATAAGGCCGACTGAAGAATTTGAGGGTCAAAACAAGTCCATCAAATCTAAAGTACGTTCGACCCTGCTGATATGGGATACTTTTGCTGTTGACAAAGTAGTGGATGTATCGGCACGTGTTCTGTTGCGCTTGTCTCCACATGCTTCCTTGTATCCTTCTCACTTGCCCTATTTGTTCCTCAGGCAGATGTGGTATCTTTTCGGGAAGCATAAGATGTTGAAGATGAGTACTCGAGAGCAATGCCAGGTAAGTAATCAGGTAAGGGGTTTCAGGCAGTCAGTTCCGGACTGGAAGCTTGATTCCAAGTGCTGACTGATTGCTCTCTTTCTCCTTGTCTTGCAGGTAAGAACAAGGCCAAAGGAAAGGACAGGGAAAAAGCATGATATGGGATACTCTTGCTTTTAACCCTGATGATATGAGATATTCTTGCTCTGGTGTAGCTTGTTTGCAGAGGTATTCTCAGGGGGAAAGAAAGCTGAGTATTTCGAGAGGCTTCGTTGGGAGTGCCCTGTCAAATATGAGGAAGGGTTGAGCATTTTTGCAGGTCTGCATGTCCGTTGAGGATGGAGGTCGACATATATAGGAGTCTCCCTAACAACAAGGAGTAATGCTATTCCTTTACCCTGCTTGGTCATAGCACGGTAGTGGGAGCTGCCAGCTTCACGTGTTTTAACTCTGTCAGAGCACTTTGAAAAAGTGGTCTGTGGTATCTGGAAAGCTGATGTTACGTGTGAAGATTATAGACAAGCTTTATCCAAAAAGATCTGGCTCTCGAAGTTGAGAAAACGGTGTGAGGATTACAGACAAGCTTTATCTAAGGGGCTCTCGAAGTTGAGAAAGCGGTGCCTCTTCGATTTTCGAACAAGCAATCCTATCGGGGATCTGTCTCTCGAGATTCGAAGAACGGTGCCTCTTCGATGTTTGAGAAAGCAATCCTGTTAGGAGTCTGGCTCTCGAGATTAGGAGAGCGGTGTCTCGTCGCTTTTTGAGAAAGTAATCATGTTGGAAGTCTGGCTCTCAAGATTCGGAGGGCGGTGCCTCTTCGATCTTGAAGCAAGCAATCTTGTTGGGAGTGTTTTCTCGAATGTGAGTACAGGTTAGGCCTGTTTGCTAGTCTACCTTGCCACGGAGCACAGAGGTTGACATACAGGGACTTTCCAATTATCCAACAGTGGTCCTGTTCCTTTACCCTTGTGGGTAATAATATGGTAGCTAGACCTTCAAAATTTATGTGTCTAAACTTTGTTAGTGCTGTTTCTTTGCTATTCTTTTACCCTTCTTGGTCATAGCGATGTAATGGGAGCTGCAAGCTTCACGTGTCTAAACTTTGTCAGAGATTTTTGGCAAAGTTATCTGTGGTACCCGTGAGCTGATGTTGCGTGTGGAAAGTGGATGATTGAACAGTAACATTCACGTGCTTTCTACTTCACCAGAAATCTTCGACAGAATGCCCGTAATTTCCGCAAAGTTGAGTGTACATGTGACAGGTGCTGACAAGGCTGAAAAAGCAGGTGCCTCTTCAATTTCTGAGATTGGCCCTTATGGTCTCTGAGTAGCCCAGCTTTTGAGAAAGCAAGCGCCTTTTCGATTTCTGCGATCGACCTTCGTGGTCTTTGAGCAGCCCATCTTTTGAGAAAGCAAACGTCTCTTCATTTCCTGAGATCGGCATTCGTGGTCTCTGAGCAGCCCAAGTTTTGAGAAAGCAAACGCCTTTTCGATTTCTGAGCAGGCGCCTCTTCGATTTCTGAAGCTCCATCGAGTGCAGATTTTTATAGAGGCTGGTATTAAGTTCCAAAGCACACTTGAATCTCCACTAGTAGAAGCTCCCTTCTTTCATTTCTAAGATCTTGATTTATCCGACCTCTTCTCTCTTCAACACCTTTGAAAATGTTTGGCCCTTCCGACTGACTTGAACCTTGTTGAAGAGGCAGCCACGCCTTCTCCAGACAACATATGGCGCCCATCCTTCTTATCCCCTACTGGTCCTCTTACCGTTGGGGATTCCGTGATGAAGAATGATATGACCGCTGCGGTGATGGCCAGGAACCTTCTCACTCCCAAAGATAACAGACTACTTTCCAAACGGTCTGATGAGTTGGCTGTTAAGGATTCTCTGGCTCTCAGTGTTCAGTGTGCAGGTTCTGTGTCTAATATGGCCCAACGCCTATTTGCTCGAACCCGCCAAGTTGAATCATTGGCGGCTGAAGTGATGAGTCTCAAACAGGAGATTAGAGGGCTCAAGCATGAGAATAAACAGTTGCACCGGCTCGCACATGACTATGCTACAAACATGAAGAGGAAGCTTGACCAGATGAAGGAATCTGATGGTCAGATTTTACATGATCATCAGAGGTTTGTGGGTTTGTTCCAAAGGCATTTATTGCCTTCGTCTTCTGGGGCTATACCGTGTAATGAAGCTCCAAATGATCAACCTCCGATGCCTCCTCCTTCTAAGGTGCTGTCCAGTATTGAGGCTCCGAATGATCCCCCTCCGGTGCCTTCTCTTTCTGGGGCTCTACCGACTGCTGAAGCTTCTCCTAAGCAACCTTTGTGAAGACTCCCTCTTGTTTGTTTATTTTGACTCATGTATATGTACATATTTGTAACTTATTGGAGATATCAATAAATAAGCTTTGTTTCATTTCAACGTATTGTGTTAAATACACCAAAGCCTTCTTCGCTAAGTTCTTTGAATTTTTCTTTTGTTGAAGCTTTGTGAGTGGAGCATGTAGGTTGAGGTAGTGTTCCCTTAATTTCCCGAGTGGGGAAAACTTCTCGATTGGAGACTTAAAAAAATCCAAGTCACTGAGTGGGGTCGGCTATATGAATCTTAGAACGCCATTGTGCTCAATCCTGTGTCATGTCATCCGTTAGATCCAAGTACTCTAAGTCTTTTCTTAGAGTCTCTTCCAAAGTTTTCCTAGGTCTTCCTTTATCCCTTCGGCAGTTGGTCTAGAGTTTAATTGACAGAACACATAAGTGTAATGGAAAAAAAATGCACATCTTGTCATGGGCATCACAATTAACTGTAAGACATTGACTAATTTTCACATTCAATGATAATGACGTTATCCTATAGTCAAATTGAAACTTCCCCAAAAGAAACCTAATGTAAATTACCTAAATCAGAGTCAGATCTGAGCAAAAAAAATTAGGGAATATCTTCTATAGTCAAATTGAAACTTCCCCAAAAGAAACCCAGTTAAAAACAGTCAATAAATGAAGATTTACATAATTTAATTATCACATAAACACCAGTCAGCGATCATGAATTCGAAAGTAGAAATACTAAAACAAAGTACTACTTAGAAACCAAAACACATTAAAATTGAAAAATCTTAGAAAAAGATTACTTGATTTTACCAACGTGATCTCCGATTCAGGCTATACATCCACCGATCTTCCCAAACTCGACACACCCCCTCCATATAAGTATTCGTGCACATAGAGAAATTTCATGTAAACATACAATGTGACGACCCGTCCCTGATTTTACGTTTTTATTAATTTTTAAAATGTGAATTTACGAAAATGCCCTAGGGACGAAGGCTTTGACTTCTGTTGACCATTGGTTAGAGAGACGTATGACTTATTCTTGTAGCATATCCTCGTAGTACTCGTTGGTACGAACGCATAGGAAAAAGCCATTTGCGAGTCCGGATTAGAACTGTATAGTTACAGACATTTGAAATTGGTTACTTGTTAGGATAATTTTGAACTCCCACTAGGTGGGAATAGTGGACCAATTAAATTAAAGGGACAATGAACCAATTAGAAGAGAGGGAGAGTGCAACAACCCAATCAGAAATCAGGAAAAGAAGAACAAAAGAAAGAAAGAAAGAAAAAAAAAAGCTCCCAGCTTTCCGTGCACCCACACCCACACCCATTGCGACCACCCATCTTCCAAGGCTAATTCCAGCCAACTCCGGTGGAGTTTTTCGACGCCAGCACCACCATCTTAAATTTCTCATTCCCCTCTACAAAACCCACCCAAGAACCACCTTTAGAAACCACCACATGTGGCAGGGCAAAGCTATGAAATCAAACCCGTCAAAACCGTGTTCGGCCACTCTTTTCAATTCTTCCGGCAAATCGGCAAAGTGATGGCTGATGCCACCACTTAGGCTTTGTATCCCATCATCCCAGGAGAAAATCCCAACCAACCTTGACCCCGTTGGTCCATCGTAGATGACGAATCAACGGCGGGAAATTTTAGGCACCGCCGGCTTTGTGGGCAAAATTGACCATCTTCCGTCTACTTTTGGACTTCATGGTAGGTATGAAATTTGTGCATCTCTTTGAGATCTTCATTTCTATAAAATTTGAGAATTTTAGAAATAGTGGAATTTTCTGACGAACTGTGGCGGCCAGCCACCACCGCCGCGGCACGTGCAGTAACGGCCTGGCCAGTGGGCTGACGATGTCCTTTTGAGTTCAATTAGATGTTCTGATGTCATAATTGATATCCATATGATGTGGTTTGATTGTTTGAACTTAGTTTCATTACGATACATCACTTGACCTTTATACGAATAGATGATTCGTCTGTTCGATCATCACCAAACTTTGATACATATTAGTACGTAATATTTGAGGATCATAAAAACTTACGGATCGGGAATCCGACGTACGGATATTCCCGAATTAGATTTGTAAGTTCATAAAATAAAATGTTGACCGCCACATGGTTTTTGGCAATTGGTAGAGATCCGACCGTTGGATCGTAATGAAATTTAGGATGTTGTTTTAGAAGCATAATGTGGATCTTTGGAAGTAACGGATCAAAAATCCGTGATCTGGATCTTCCGGATCAAATCTTAGCTTGATGGCAAATAGAATATATTTGTACTATATATGAACACTTGGAATTTACAGGTTACCCACTTGCACATCACATTCATCAACTACCGTCATGCATTGCAAGACAACGAGGTGGAACCAGGCGCCCTAAACAAAAATAAGACAACTAACTACTTCAAGTTTAAACCAGTAAAACGGATGTGAATCTTTTCATAAGCTCTTCCATAAACTTCCAGAAGCTACTTGTAACACTAGGATGAATTTAAGCAAAAAGAAAATCCAATCTTTGACATGCATACAAAAAAAAAATCCATACGTGGGTGGGTCTAATTCTTCTCGGCCCAGGTTGGAAACAAACTTGATTCACCTTCCTCGTCCCAATCTTTGACATGCACATAGAAAATTGATTTAAAATTCGAAATCTAGAATCGACCCCAAAACTAAAAGTTTTTATTTTGGAAAACAACTTACAGTGGAAGACAGCCCACAAGGAGAGGATCATTTTTACCTCTTGGGTCGAGGTTCGATTCCGACGGGTTTGGTAGAAAATTTGTCGGAAAATCACCAGCCATCGCTTCTTAGATCTGAAATTGACGAAATTCGGCTACGAATTTGTAGAAACTAACTTGGGGGTTGGAAGGAGGACGTGAAGAGGATTCTGGAGGTTTAATTTGACGGTCGTTGGTGACCGGTGGATGGCTTGCGTGAAAGAGGAGAGAGAGAGAGAGAGAGAGAGAGAGAGAGAGAGAGAGAGGACGAAGGGGGAAGGGATGAGGGGGAAATTGAGGGAAGAGAGAGGAGTTGGACGTTCGTGAAGGGAAGAGAGATTTTTTAAGTTTTTCTTATTTTTTTATAAATGTGTTTAACTTATCCTATCTAAAATCTGAAGGCAAGCACAATCCAAACCTCATTTGGTTTCCTTGCTTGCCCCATAAAAATCCCAAAAGTAAATATGTAAGGACACAAAACTTACTTTTTATTTAAATATATTGAACTAAAGGGCACAATAACCTTTGTCGTGTTTTTGCAAATTAATAAAAAATTTACAAATCTGACACATGCAAGGCAGGATGGACATAAAGCGCTACTGACAAACATATTTTATAGACACAAAATCCTTTTTGTGCCCATCTTAAGTAAAAAAGTACCCTACTCGGCACGGTTTTCGTGCTCATTACTGTTTTGTATCTTTTTTTTTTTTAACATTGGGCACCATAGATGGTGCCCTCTATTGAATGTGAACTATTTAAGCTTTTTTGTGGTTAAACTGACACAAAATTTTCAATTATGCCCTTTTTTTTGTACCTAAAGCTCATTTTTGTTGTAGTGAATTATATATTTTTAGTTATCAGGTGATTAATTAAGAGTATTTTGTTATGAATAATTATTCAGAATTTTTTTACTGTTAAATGTGAACTACCTGCCCACGTGCCACCGATCAAGTACCATATATACATGATAGAAATACAAAATATGAGGTGGTTTTGGTAACCCAATACCAACAGAAATTACAAAATACAAATTTGTTCTTTAGCCAAACGAATTTCATTTACCCTAGCGAACACATGATGAAGAATCTTTGATGGTTGAGTGAGAAAATCCTTATAACTAAATGTTGCATTAAGCCATGTTTCTCATAAGTAACCGGTACATGTTGTCCTTTAAGATTGCATGGTTAGAACACTAATGCATGTGATAATAAATATTACCATATTGAAACTCTAACCAGGTGAAGCTCCAGCAGCTATGGTATTCGTTGAACCGAGAAGAAGAAACACCAAGTCTTCTACAAACTCCTAGTCAAGATTGGGTTCAGTTGAGTCCTGAAATTGATGAAATTTTACAGGATTAGAATGAATAATTATAAGATTGGCGAATGGTTCTTTTTCAATGGACTATAATATCCCTCAACGAATGTCAACCTTGTCAAGGATCCCATCGCCAACTTAAGCCTTGCTCAGGAGTACCTACTTTGGCACCAACGCCTTGCTATCCCTCAGAACCAGTGTCCACTTTGTTTCCAAACTTTTGTAAAAACTCACATGAATGTGAGACTTGTCAATTGTCAAAAGCCACCGAACTTCTTTTTGTATCATCTATTTAAGTCTAGAATCAGTAAGCTATTTGAGGTTGTTCACTCATATATCTGGATCACTTTCGTGTATAATCATTTGATGGATACAAGTATTATGTCATATTTGTGGATGATTATTATAAAGTCACTTGGTTGTATCTCTTGAAATTTAAGAGTGAATTGTTTGATGTTTTCAAGGATTGTTACAATCAATTTTCATCTAAAATAACACTAAGGTACCGTTTGGTACGTAGACAGGACAGGACGGGACGGAACGGAACGAAATGGAGGTTCGTGTTATGTTTGGTATGCATAGGATGGAACGGTTCGGATTTCATATTAAATGACTAACTTAGCCTTGTTTGTACAATTTCTACAGTGTCGTCGTTTTCCTTCATTTTCTCGGCAACCAGTCAGACCCCCAAACAATTACAAGAAGAAAAAAAATTGACGAATCAGACCCCCAAACAATTTCTTTCTCTTCAAATCAAACACAGAAAAATCCCAAAATTCATTTCAATCAATTTCTGTAGCTTCGTCATCGTCCTCCCTGCAGCGTCGTCATCATCCTCCGTGCAGCATCCACCTTCTTCCCTCCGACCCACCAAACTGTTTCACTCTCTCTCTCCCCAACCTCCCTCTCCAAATCGAGCGACTCCGTCCTAATCCAATGGTTCGGCATCGATTCGCCCTCCCGACTCGACTAGCTCGGCATCTACTCGCCCCCTTCCTCCCACCACGACAACTTTATAGGATACAAGTTCCTCTCCTCCACCCCCACATGGAAATCTGGGTCGGGCTCCATTTCCCTCCCTCTGGTCAATCTTCGATTCAACTACTCCTTCCAGATTTTCCGCTGGAACGAGTCTGAGGTCGACCCCAACCACCTCGACCAGGACCACAACCCCCTCCCCGGCACCGCCCACCTGCTCGCCACCTCAGATGACGAGTTTAGCTTCGAATCGGGTCATGTTCCGGATCAGATCCACCTCGCTTACACGGACGGAGATGGCGAGATGCGGGTTATGTTCGTGATGCCAGACGGCGCCGGAGAAGAAGAGGGTTTGCTATGGTGACGTCGTCGTCGTCGGATGGGTTTGCTGGGATTGGGTTAGCAGTTGGGTTACTGGGTTTGTGGTGGAGGAAGAGGAGGGCTACGGGGGAGACAAGGGTAGAAGAGAGGGAGGTTACGGGAGAGAAAGGGAGGTAGACAATGTAATTAATGAAAAATAAAAGGGGTATTGTTGTCCAAAAAAATATAATTTTGTGTCCCACGGGATGGAAAAACCCATTCCAGGGGGGAGGGGGAACCAAAATCTAACCCATTTTCGTTCCATGGGACGCGCGTTCCACATAATTTTAGAGCACCAAATGTGGGACGGAACGCGTCAGTCCCATCCCACGTACCAAACGCACCCTAAAGTCACACAATGGCACTGAGTACACGACCAACAACATGTCCGACTATTTGAGCACTCATGACATTTTGCACCAAACTAGTTGTGTTGGTACCCCACAACAAAATGGTGTAGCCAAGAGGAAAAAAAAAAGGCTTGCCGGAGAAAACAAGGTCCCTAATGTTACAAATGAATGTACCCAAGAGGTTCTGGTCCTAAGCACTTACCACTACTACCTGTAGGTTGCCTACTCGTGTGTTAAATGTCAAATCACCTTATGAAAGGGAGAACCATGGACTTGTCTCATCTCAGGATCTTTGGATGCACTTTCTATGCACACATTCAAGCTGCTCATCCACTACTAGAAATTTGGCTATAAGCCACCCTTTTCATTGGTGGCTATTGTCAAGTGTTGCCACTCACATTGGTGGCAAACCTCTATGGCCACCAAGCACCCACTAAACTAGAGAGTGTGACCAATGTAGAGGACTCTATTGTAACAATGGCTACCAATATTGCATTGGTGGGTATGTGAACAATGCCACCCTAATTCACATTGGTGGCAAATTTGCAAAATAATATTAAAAAAAAAAAAGGATGCCTTAGGGGCACCCAGATTTGAATATAATATCTCTTTTTTTTTTTGGTGAGAAAACAAATTGTAATATCATTGATATTAAGAATATACTACAAATCCGCATAACTGATCTTTTATACAATTTTGAACAAATGTTGGGACTCAAACTTTGAAAAGTGTTTGAACACTCTGTTTCCAACGAGCTAAATCATGTCAATAACTTGAATCTGATCATTTGATGCACCCAAAGTCAAATCCACAAATTTCATAAGAATAATGTTAACTCAAGTTCAACCGTTAAAGCAATTAGAGTTGAGGACATGCATCACTGAGATATGATCAAATAAATACCTGGGAAATGTAGTTTTTCAAGAGGTTTGCAGTCGTAATATCAGCCATGAAGACTCTCACGTTACTGCTACTGTTGGTTGGAAGGCGCAAGTAACTTTGCCGACAAAAATTTCTCACAAACCTGTGGAGATACAAAATTAAAAAAAAAAATTGAGCACTATCCACAGGTAACTAATAACGAACTAACTAAATTAATCTATGCTCAAAGTGCACAACTATTAGTTCAGAATAGTTCAATTTTCTGCAAGGAAAGGAAAGGAAAGCAAGGTGAATAACAAAGAGAAACTAAGATTTGGAGTTAGCTTTATGAAGAGATTGCATATAACATAAAAATGAAATAAGATGAACCAAAACACAATAATTAAAAATGGATTTCATGACAATACTAACAGAGTAATTAGAGAGTAGTAGCAAGCAAGGATGATAGATGCCATTACCAGAGCTCAAAACAGGGGACTCTATTCTTATCGTTGCCATGATCTCAATCAACTTTCTCTAACCTAGAAACATAATAAAAACAGCAAATCAACTTTCCTTAACCTTGAAGCATAATATTTCAAGCATAAGACAAACACTAAAATCCCCAGAAAGTAATAAATAGCATTCCAGTTTCTAGTCTCTGAACATAGAGTACACCAAGAGCTCTCAGACATTACAAAGTAATCACACATATTAAATAGTATTCAATGTAGATGCATACACATCATACATGTATGCAGCCCAGTTTATAGACAAACAACAAATAACTATCACACTCACAATTACAAATATCAAATTGACCTCAATAATATACGATAACTATTACGAGGAACACGTTCGATTTAATTTCCAAAGTTACACTTTAAAGCCCAAAACATATAAATTTTTTTTTCCTTATTTTTTTTCATTTATGTGTATAAACAACCAACCAAATTGTTTTACCTTAAATCATCAAGAGAAACCTAAGCAGCCGAGAAAATAATTCCAACCTGCAAGTTCATACCAAACAAAAAAAATTCTGGAAAAAATAGACCAAATAATTAAAATACCTACACATGTATAAATTTATCAGGTGAATAATTTCAACAATTATCCAGAATAAAAAAATTAAAAAAAAAAAATGAATTTTACCCAAACAGAGAGTGGATCCATGGATGTGGAAGTGAAGGACGCTTGTGAGGGTCGGCCCAGGTTGGAAACAACTTTAATTCACCTTCCCCGATACATGCATATTGATAATGTAATTAAAATTTGAAATCTAGAATTGATCCCATAACTAAAACCTTTTATTTTGGAAAAGCACTTACACTGGAGGATAGCCGTCAAGGAGAGGATCGTTTTTACCTTTTGGGTCTAGGTCCAATTCCGGCAGGCTTTGCCGGAAATTGGCTGGAAACCCCGCGGTCACTGTTTATTAGATCTAAAATTGAAGAAATTCGGCTATGAATTTTTAGAAACTAACTTGGAGGTTGGAAAAAGGACGGGAAGAGGACTCTAGAGGTAAGATTTGCTGGTCGTTGGTGACCGGCCGATGGTGGCACTGTTGCGTGGAAGAGAAGAGGGTGAGAAAGGATACGGGAGGGAGGAAGACGGCTGAAGAGGACAATGAGAACTTGAGAGAGAGAGAGAGAGAGGAGAGAAGAAAAGTAGAAGAAAAGTAAATAAAAAAAGCAGCACCACTTAGGCGCCAACAAAATAAATAATGAAATTAAAAAAAAACAGAAGAAAAGTAATTTTAAGAAATAAAGCTATTTAACAGCCACCAATCATTGGTGGCTCAATGTTGAAGGCCACCCTTATCAGTGGCATTCCACTGTAAAGCCACCAAAAAATAGTAAGAGTAGCAACTTTATATCTATGGCCACCAATTGCAAAAGGTGGGCAAAAAATGGTGTGTAATGAGCATAATTCCAGTAGTGATCGTGATAGATTGGAACCTAAGGCTGTCAAATATGGATATTCTAGTCCTCAAAAAGGTACAAATGTTACAACCCACACACTGGGAAACTGGTAGTGTCTAGAGAAGTACGATTTGATGAGCTCTCTCCCTAGTTTCACAAGGATTCTGAGAATGATCATAAGGGGGAGGTAGAGCCCCATGGAATCCTTCCCAACTGCCAACTCCAGTAGAGATCCATGAATGCACTCCCCAAAATTCCTCCATTGAGCATCACTTCATTGAAAAACTACATCACTAATAAAACAGAAGAAACATTGTAGAGGAACCTCAATACAGAAGCGACACAGAGAAAATTACAGGGGAGCAATAATCTAAGAGAAAATTAGATAAACGTCGGGAAGATCTTTGAACCAAGAACAATATTGACTTGAGTACAGGGCAAGGCAATGGGCAGCACCATTAGCTTGGCTCGAATATGGGTGATATTAGCTCTAGTGATTGAGTTGAGGAAAGTATAGTACAGTAATTGTTTGGAATAAAACTTGAACTTTGAGCTCAAAAGGGAATTAGCCCAGACGAAGGAATGGAAAGCGAAAAGCCCAAAGCCCAACCGAAGCCCAGAAGAAAGAAAGAGCTTGTTTCCCGACCAAGTGCAGATCATTCAAACCACATGCTCACCTACCTAAAGGTCAAGTGGCGTAGACCAGCCAGCTAATCAGCCCAAAAGTACTTTACAATGGCAGTACAAGTAAAAAGTTGATGAGTCACTACCTTTCAGATACATTTGGGCAAAATCAATACTGCAGGCAACCAGGCCAAATCGTCTATAAAATGAGGAAAAAAAATCCAAGACAAGGACACTCAATCAAACAAACAAATATAAGCACAAACTCTGCTCAAACCAGATTTGCATTCACGAAGTTGTAGTCAGCCCCCAAGCCTTCATCCCTTTCGGGATCAACCTTCACCAGAAAGCCTTTGTAAAAGCTCTGCTACTTTGTCTAAATCTTGTTGTAGTATCGATTCCCTTATATAAACTCATCTCCCAATCTCCCCTTTTAGCATTCAAACCCTTTGTAAATCACAAAGAGAGGAAGTTGCAAGACGATCAGCCTTACCCGACCTCTTTTGTTTTTGTCTTTCATTCATGAATCTAGTAATATGATGTATATTTCCATCTGCATCCAAGTTATTTCTAGCCAGTATATGATTAAAAGACTTCTAAGTTCTAACCATTCAGGCAGACGAGATTGATCAATTAAAAGTCCTTAGTCTCAAGGCATAAAAAAGAGCCCTATGTAGACTTAACACATCCACGACAGTCCTTGATAACAAGAAGTCCGAAGTTACTTGGGGTGCAAGTAATTGGCTTATTCTCTCGTTTTACTTTTGTTATATCATGATTGCTACAGAACGCTTGAGTATAGAATTAACTCTGATAGGAAGCCTTAAGGCCTATACCTAAGGCCCGACAAAGGCACCTATCTGAATTCATTCTGCTCTGTGGACTCGGGCGATTAAAGTATAACGGTTGTGATACTTCTGCAATAATAAAACAACCAATATATGTTCGAGTACTTGGTTAGTTTTTTGATTTGAAGCCTCAAGGCCTAAACCAAAGGCCTCATAAAGGCACCTTTCATTACTAAACTCGGGCATATTTACTCAAACTAAACATCTGTTTTACATCTGTCATGCTAAAGATGGCAGTGGCACGCCTGAACACCTAAAGGTTAATTTTGATTGTGAGCCTCAAGGCCTACACCTAAGGCCCCATAAAGGCACCTTTCATGAGTAACTCTGTCCCTTCTCTTACAGCCCGACAATAAACAGAAGCCTGACAGACAACATCAACCGGCGCCAACTTCTCGGGGAGCTGTGTGCTCGTTGGCCAGGAATCGTCCTCACTGGATATTCCTCAAGACGAACATAATTTTGGCACGCCCGGTGGGACACATTTTTTTTTAATCTCGCATGTCAAAGAAGAAAAGCCATAAACCTTGTAGAAAGAGCACAAATGACGAATCATCTCAACCTTTGCTACAAATGACAAAGCAATCAGGAAATCTTTCTTCTCCATCAGGACAGGTGGTCCTGGAAAGCCCAACTTCATCTGGAAGGTCTGAAGGAAAAGGAACTAATGAAGAACTGCAGGCTACTATGATACAAGTGTTGAAGAGCATGGAAAAAATCTCTTTGGAAACTAAGGGAGAAGTAAGTAAACTTTGTACCTTAACAGGGAATCTACAGAGAATACTAGATCTGGAGTTCTCTACTCCAAAAGGTGCTCAAGGAAGTGGGATGAGCCAAGTTACCATCAGAGGTGAACTAGTTATTCCCCTATTTCCGTTATTAAAAGAAAAAAAAAGATAAGGGAAAGGAAAAAGAAGTCCCTGAAGGAAGCCATCCCATAATTGAACCGGTTCTAGAAAAAGAAATCCCCAGCTTCCCATTATTATCATTTAATAATAGGAACCAGAGCGAACAAGAAAGGACGAGGTATGGGATGCCCATAATAACCGGAGAACCCAGCGGAAAAGAAGGCTTTATCACCTCAGATAAGCCTCCTCCTTATAGGCCACCTTCGTTGGCTAATAAGGGAGGATGAGCTAACTGGAGAAAGCCCGAGTCAAAAAAGGGAGCAGGAACGGGAAATGACCGAAGCCCAAAGAATGAAGCTGCTCTTATCTTCCATAATAATAATATAGCTACTCAACAACTGAGGGAGGAGCTGGCTGAGTTAAGGAGAGCGGTGGCTCATAATGCTCAACCACAAGCTTGTCCAATATTCAGAGTTACCTATCAAAAACCTTATCTTGAATATATTGATGAGCAGAACACATTTCCTATCAACTTCAAAATGCCTGCATTCCCAATATTCACGGGAGAAGATGGAAGTGTGTCATATAGAGATCATATTTTCAAATTCTCCAATCATTGTGTGGCATATGAAGATAACCCGAACTACAAGCTGAAGTTGTTTGGAAATTCATTGGTGTGGCTAGCATCTCAGTGGTACTCTCTATTGCCCCCTAACTCTATTGCCAACTGGGGGCAGATGGAGATAGCCTTCCATGAACAATTTTACAGAATAGAACCAGAAATGACTATCAATGACCTGGATGAAGTCAAGCAATACGACCATGAGACCATAGAAGATTTCATGATGAGGTTCAGAAAGACAAGAATGAGATGCCAATTCCCCATTAACCAAGCTCAGCTTATATCAATTGCTCATAGGGCTTTAAATTACCTCTGAGGAAAAGGTTATATGATACACAATTCAATGAGTTACAGGAGTTGGTAATCGCCGCCACAAAGTATGAAAGGTTGCTGCTAGAAGAACAACAAGTGAAGCACACTTCCAAGACTCCTCCCTTTTACAAAAACAAAGCTGCAATTCATCGTGTGGAGGTGGAAAAAGTAGGGCCAGAACATGAAGATGGCCATGATAGAGAGGAAATTGATGTTTGTGCTGCTGAGATAACCACGCCTTTCAAACCATTAATGGTGAAAGGGTTGGTTCAACCCATCAAAGATCAAAAAATCGTAATGAATGATGGAGGGTTTGTCCCTATGAAACCTCCAAAGTACCAGAGTTATTCCTTTGACTTGGCCAAAGCTCCTGAGATCTACGAAGAGCTGGTGTGGGCAAGAATAATTTTGCTCGACAGTACTAAGAAGGTGCCTAAGCCAGAAGAACTAAGAGGGAAGAAGTATTGCAAGCTGCATTATACCTTCAACCATTCTATAACCAATTGTGTCCAGTTCAGAGATTGGATACAAGACCTTATAGTGAAGGGCAAACTCTTGCTTGACAAGCCCCAAACCAGTATGCTGGTTGATAAAAACCTGTTCCCGGAGGCCCGTATCAATGCGATCAACCTGGTTTAGGTAGAAAAGCTGGGATCATCATTTGTTAAGAAAGAAGAGGGAAATAGATCCCATGTTCCCCCAACACTTCCATGTCAATAATATTAGATGGAGGACCAATTGATCAAGATTAAGTCATGAAATTGGTATTGGTAAGAGAAGCAGAAAAGAAAATAAATGGGGGGCAGGGAGCTGCCTGAAGATATAACATGGGATTTACAATGCAAATAGGGCCATGAGCAAGACAAGCAGAGGCAAAATACATGTTCATTTTGATAAAAGAAGGGTTACAAGTGATTCTAGTCTAACAAGTTTACATCTTTACTCAGAGTAATTATTCAGGAATGATAAATTTGCATGATTGTAAAAATTCTACCAGGTTTGGCCAGAACAGTGTTGCTATTAGCAAGTTGAGATCTAGTGTGTTCGAGCTCTAAGTTTGACTTCTTCACTTCTTCAATTTGATGTTTAAAGGTGCCAAGAAGGGTTGTTTGCTCAGCCTTGAGAACAATAAGTTGTTCTTCCAACTTCTGGATTTCAGAAGTTACCACTCCAATCCTTTATTTTGTCAGCAAGCCCTCATCCATTAACCATTCGACCTGAGCAGAAGTACTCGATTCCTTCTCCTTGAAGCATTTTACACGATTGGCTTGTCTTTTAGCTCTCTGATGTTGATCCCTGAGAGCCTTCAAGTTCTCAAAGAAAGAGAAAAAGGAATCATGTTGGGTTTTGGATAACTGGCCGGCCTTAAAGAGCTCTATCGTAACCTTCTCTATATCATGAAGAGCCTTAAGGCTGAACGAAGCTGAGAAGTCTTTCTTCACCCAATCTTGGAAAGCTTGACGTTGTTCTTGAAAGCCAGAAAGTTCAGA